GGGTGTAATATTTCTAGTGCCTCATTAGTTGGCTTAGATTCCAGGCCTTTGTGGGCTGTTTCTTTCTTTCCTTTCTTCTTTTTGTAAGATTTCAGGAAAAGGTCATGAGATAAGCAGGATATTTGAAAAGATTTGAGCTGAGAGGGGTCAGTGACCAAGGGACCTATTCTGCAAGCCCCACCCTCTCTTGGCTTAGTGACTAATTTTCACTAAGTGTTAACTGAGAAGTGCTGATTGAGAACTGAGACGTGATCTCTCTCACAGGATTTATATTTTCTTATAGGATGCTCACAGCTCAAAAAAATTTAGGATCTCATAGTGGTGGACATTACAGGCAGGAAGGATGGAGGGGGSCCCCCTTTCTCCCTTCAAGTCCTACGGCCCAGAGAGCTGCCCACTTTTACTCTGAGGATGCTGGCTCTGTATGGGACTCACAAGACACAGTTTAAAACTCAGCTGCACACAAAGGGCTCCTGAAAACTGCTCCCAAATGCCTGTGAGTCCAGTTCTTTACTCTTTTGGGGTTGTCAGACTCTTCTATATCAATGTCCTTACTAGCTTCAGTTCTTTTTCTTTCCTTCTCTGGATAGCTGATTTTAAATTTTTACATAAATATTGAGAAGCAGTGTGTATTCTCATTAATTTGTAAAAAGCTGGGGCTGATTTTGAAAGAGAACTGCATCTCTATGAGCCAGAGGAAAAATCAGTTCAACACTACAGAGCAGGGACGGAACACTTGGCTGATTCCATACAGACCCTCTTATACTTTCAGATCCCAAGGGAATACACTGCTCAGATATCTCTATTTTCAGATGGGAACTATTGGCAAAAAGAAATCTAATTCATTGTATTACAGACAAGGGTTCAACTGGGGGAGGGACCCAAACTCTGACAAACAGAAATAGGGCATTATGTATTTCCATCCAAGTTCCCTTAACAAAAGAGGATCTTCTGATTTTCTTAGAGAGTATTTTCTTAGAGAGTATTGCTGACAGCAATAGCAAAGAAATCCTCAGTTTTGTCTTGTCTTCTAATGGATGCTTTTTCAGGAATTGGAGTTTACTAATCACATAGACTTGAAGGAGAGATTGGAAGAAAACACTCACCAAATCACCCAATCCTTTTKTGTGTGTGTGCGGGGGTGTCCTAGGGATTGAACTCAGGGGCACTCAACCACTGAGCCACATCCCCAGCCCTATTGTATATTTTATTTAGAGACAGGGTTTCATTGAGTTGCTTAGGGCCTCACTGTTGCTGAGGCTGGCTTTGAGCTCATGATCCCCCTGCCTCAGTCTCCCAAGCTGCTGGGATTACAGGCGTGTGCAACTGCGCCCAGCTTCACCAAATTTTTTTGATGGCTAGTTTTTTGACTGTGCACCCAGAGCTAAACTTAGAGACCAAATTATGTTTGGAATTGCCTGGAAATTTCCCTATACATATCCAGAGCTATGTAGATATTTCATGCTTGTAGATATTTCAAAGACAGAAAACTTGGTAACTCAAAGAGATCTCTAGGCAATACAGAAAAACACATGATCCTTGTCCTTACCAATTTGGTCTTGGGTTGCACTGTTTGTACCCTTGACAGCTGCAGAGCTCCATTAGCTGTACATGTAGCTGGTTCAAAAATGCCCCGTTCTATTACAGGAAGAGGAAATGAAAAATAACAATGAAAACCAACAGCAGGAGGTAGTACAGTAAAGGAAAAACTAATCATAGAGGAAAAACAAACCATGTTAAGTAACATACATAATCAAATATGGCTGGAAATACAAACTATATCTCAATAGTAACCCTAAATGTTACTGGCTTAAATGCACCAATCAAAAGACAGGCTAGTAGAATGGATTACAAAAAAAGATCCAACAATATGCTGCCTACAGGAGACTCATCTGATAGAAAAAGA